TATAAATTGGAATAATTTTAACAAATTTAGATAAATAAAACAATGCAAAACACAGGGCAGAGGTTTGATCTTTAGGAAATATATTCATTAAAGACTTACAGTCAGGGATAAATGAGCAGCTGGGCACCATGATGAAAAGCACCTTTTCCCCCCCTCTCATATCCCAACCAATGCACATTTTGAAAGTAGTACAACATTCAGGAAAATAAAGATTGGAAAGGATAGGTGAGGTTTTTCCCCCTTTTGTGTGAGCTTGAAAATAGAGAATATGTTGATCCTCATATAAGTGTTAATTTGTTCTTCTATTCCTTTCCCCCCCTCATATCCAGTCCCCTACCTCACTGTGCAATGCATTCTATTATGTAAATTAAAAATAATTTTCTCTTCTTTTCTTGAAATGTCTACAGTATCTGAAATGGAAATGGAAAATCAGAACACCACGGTGACCTCTTTTGTCCTTTTGGGATTTTCGTACACTTGGCCAGTCAAAATTTTCCTCTTCCTGGCATTTTTCCTCATGTATGCCTTAACTTTATTGGGAAATATGATGATTCTGGTAGTCACAAGTCATCTCCCCAGCCCCATGTACTTTTTTTTAGCTCAACTGGCTTTTCTTGACATGTGCTTGTCTTCTGTCACTGTGCCCAAGCTGCTGGTCATTTTCTGGGCAAGACAGAGTATTTCGTACCTTGGCTGCTTTACTCAGATGTTCTTTGTCTTTCTCACAGGAGGCACTGAAGATTGTGTCCTTGCAGCAATGGCTTATGACAGATATGCTGCCATTTGCAAGCCCCTCCATTATGTACGCATTATGAACAAAGCATTTTGTAGGTGGCTGGTGGGCAGTGCATGGGCAGTTGGTTTCTTATGTGCTTTGACAAACATAATATCTATTTTGAAACTAGATTTCTGTGGACCAAATATTATCAGAGATTTCAGCTGTGAATTTCCATCTCTACTTCCCTTATCTTGCACAGATACTTTCCCTAATTGGATCATATTCCTAATATCTGGTAGTGCTGTTGCAAGTTCTTCCTTGATTGTCATCCTAGTCTCCTACATCCACATCATCTCAACTATCCTGAAGTTGAACTCAGCAGAAGCAAAAAAGAAAACTTTCTCTACCTGCAGTTCTCATCTTATTGTTGTGGTTTTGTATTACGGCACTGCCTGCTTTAGGAATATGAGGCCCAGTACAGCTTCTTCAATTATTCTGGATGAATTCTTCTCCATTCAGTATAGCATTTCAACGCCTATGCTGAACCCCCTTATCTATAGTCTGAAAAACAGGGAAATGAAGGAAGCCATCAAAAAGCTAATCGGCTACAAATCCTTGTTTCCTTGTACTGTGTAAAATGGTTTGATCATGGGCAAATTTATCATTCCATAGGTATTGAACTGAGAAATAAATGCATTGTTTTGGAAATGTATTGAAATACATGTTTGGTATATATGAATATATTGGGTTGAATTCAAAACAAGTGAATTTATTTTATAAACTCATAGTTCATTAGGTTTCTATTTTGTGAATTTTTTTCAGTCAAATAGTATGTAAAAGTAGAGGTTGTTTTCCTACAACTTTTGTCCCTACATCCACTTATGAATCATATTCAGATGGTTGTTGTATAGAGCAGGGATTCTCAAAATTTGTGGTTCTATGATATCCTAAAATAATGAATGAATTTGTGTGACCCTATCCCAAAATTTTAATTTTAAATTTAATTTTAATTATAAATTTTAATTGTATATTTATTTATTGTTCTTAATATGTTGTGAGCCTCCCAGAGTCCCCCATTGGGGACAAGTTTAATAAATAAAAGAAATAAAAAATAAAAGAAATCATGATATCAGTGATCATGATCATGATAACTGTTAGCAGAATTAAACATTTTGCATTTGTGTGCGGACGTTTGCATAGGGGAATTCTGTATGCAACTTGATAAAGAGTAAATATTTATTGTGATGAAACTCTCCTGTATTTATCTGGATTCATTTTGTTTCTTCATCTCATCTTCCTGATTCCATCAATCCCACACTGAAATAATGATGTTCGTTTACTGCTGACATTTTTCCCCACTCTGCTGTATTCTAGAGACTCAACCCACCATCTCCCACCATCCAATTAGTAGGAATGATATAATATGTTCCTGAAGCCTATAGTAATTCCTGAGCTCTGCTGACAGAGTAATAGGTCATTCTGGTTTTTTACTATGGTGAGCTTCACCTGTCCATACCCTGCTAGGTTCAGTTGTTTTCATTGGGCAAGGAGATGGGAAGCTGGGCTTTTCAGCCTCTTGTGTGGGTCCAGGAGATGTTTGCTTAACCCTGGGTAACAGCACCAGTCCAACAATGGTGTCATTTTTATTAGCAGCTACCCAAAATGGTGAACTTGTTGCTGTGTTTGCTTCCTGCCTCTGAGACATGCCCCTATCTGGTGAGATCCTGTGTCTCTCCTCCTGGTCGATCATAGGCTACATGCAGAGTGGGTTTCTTCCCATCTGCCTTCCCAGGCAGCTTGAGCTGTGCAGAAGATGAGCTCTTTGCATATCTACCTGAGTTCCAACTCTTGTCACCAGTGGAGGTGGAGGTCCAATTTCTTGCCTTTGCTGTATTCACATGACACACCAAGCCCTCATTCAGCAGATTTGTTTGCTAAGCATGTCACATGATCCCAAATTCCAAGTAATTTTCATCCTGAATAAAATCTCTAGTATAAATGGCTGTCAGCTTTACTAGGCAGACAGACAGGAAACACGATCAAATAAGCTGATTCTACTTTATTGTAAAGCTACATTACCAGAATCTTGGAAGTCTGAAAGTACAATTCTCCCACCATCTCCTTTAGAGCAAAAAGGAAACAAACCTTTTCCTTTTGTTTGAAAAAAAACAAACAAACAAAACAAAACTAGGGAGGATCTCTTCTGAGCCTCTTGCCCCATCCATTATCCAGCTGTAGGCTATGCTGTCTCTTATCTGACTGTTCTCTAGGGAGCATTACTTGACCTTCTCCTGAGGTCCCACATACTATTACAATGGCAAACTTCTTCCCAATTGACTGGCTCCTTTCCTCCTACCTTTCCATGAGTCAGAGCTTTATAGTTGCTGAACATCTTGTCCACCTGCCTTTTAACCCTTCTGGCCATCCAGAAATTTGCTGGATATGTAGAATTAGTCCTTTTTTAACTAGACTCATGTTTTGTTTCATAACAGTCCCAATCTGGGGAAAAAATCCTCTGCTGCATGAGACACCAACTTTCATGCTGGATTTTGTTACATGTAGTCCTCATTTAGCAACTGTTCACAGTTATGATGGTGATGCATAACTATTTTGATATTTTAGAATGTTTCCAATTTGCTGTTATTCTACTATTGTAGGCTTTTTATGCTGCATTGACTATCATCATTAATGCCCCCCCGCAAATAAGTGTTTTTCTGTTTGGTGATTTATCCATTGTTTTATGTTGGGTATATATTTTACTTGCATTGTTTCTATATTGTTAGGGACAGAATGGTCTTCTTTTGTAGCAGACCACCTTTGTATTCTATCAGGATACCTGTCTTCTCTTTTAGATTTTTCCATTTTTAATTAATTTGCAAGCTGTCATATACTATTATCCACACAACTCTATAATATTCTCCTTTTGCATTGAATGTCTCCATTTTAATACTGAAAATGAATTTTAAAAGCATATTATTATAACATAATAAAGTTTGATTGTGTTTATCTTCGGTGAGATTGGTGTTGGGTGGAAGAAGCGCTGAATAGTTTAGTCACTCCATCACACCTCCATACCTAGTATAAGGACACTCAACATTATTTCAATTTTTGCCTTTTTATTTAGAAAGAACTAACAAGATGCTATGCCAAATCAGGTGATGAGACTAGGCTGTGAAAGCCCAGAGAGCTTCTGAGGCAGGAGGTTCAGGACCTCCATCTTTTCAGCCTGTAGGCCTCAACCTGATTTGACAACAGAAGGCAGAATCAAGCACATTGTGACACGTACAGAATTTTCTACTGGATTTTAATCCTAGACGTTGCTGGGTTCTCCTCCTCCTCCTCCTCCTCCTCCT